TAAAATATTTCAGAAATGATGAAATAATATAAAATTTCCCCAAAGTTTACTGACTCCCTGAATTCTGTCCATAGAACCCTGAGTGGTCTTGAGAGGCCCAGGTAAGGACCACTACTGACCTAACCCCAGCCCAAGTGAAATAGTTTAAGGTTTTTTTTTTTTTTTTGGCGGAACCGGGGATTGAACTCAGGCCCTTGTGCTTGCCAGGCAAGTGCTTATTCCACTGAGCCATCTCCCTGGCTCCGAAATAGTTTAAGTTATATACATGCATTCAAGATTAATCCTCTCTAAGCCGTTTGGCTAAAATCAAGAGTAGCATCTGTCTTATCAGCTTAAATGTGTACAACAGCAGGTTTGGCTATTAAAGATCTGACCAAGTTTTCCACAGAGGAGCGCTTGGCTAGCAGATCTGCCCGTGAAACCGGAAGGCCCAGAGGCCTCTCTTCAGCCCTGAGGGTCTCATCTGATCTTCTCCTTTCACCCTTTGTTCTTCACAGAGTTCACCACAGGGGTGCTTTGACCCTCCCCCTTACCACTCCTAGGGCAGGAGCCCTGCTCCACAGCACACTTGAAAGGCTCCCCTGGCCAAGAGGAAGAGCCCCGAAGGAAATTGCTTATCCCCCCCGTCAGGAGGACAGCTCTCCTCAGAACAATGACCTCCTTGGTTGGTGGGTTACTGGCCATGAAGACCCTGAGAGCAAGGAGGATCCAGCTCCTCTTGTGGTTGCCCTTTCCACCCACCCTCTGGCTGGAAAGGGCTGAAGTGTCCTAGTGTTGCTAGGCAACAGGAACTAATTCAGTGATGACTGTACCCAGAAGATTGTTACACCCTCAGTAGTGTGCTGCGTGTGGTGTCTGTGTGATGTGATGCATTGCTTCCCTTCGAGGCCTAGAACGGGGCAGGAGAAAATCAAATTTCTACAGTGGCTTCAAGGAGTCTGACAGGGCTGACTATGGAGGCGAGTGCTCACTGGAGATAGAAGGTTGGAGGTGTCATTTCCCCTAGGCACCCTCTGCATGCCATGTCAGGACCTGTCAAAATGCACTTTTCATTTGTGGCTAGGGTGCTGTAAGGGGCTGATAAAAGAATCCTTCAGTAGAACCCAACTGATAAGACTCCACACTGCTCCTTGAAGCAGACTCAAGAAGCATGCACTCCGTCGCCAGCCCCCAGTGAGCCTAACGCTAGCTGTAGGACAGCTCTCTCTCAGCCTCAATTTCTACCTCCATAAAAATGAAGTAGTAAAATCCATCAGAATCATTATAAGCATTAAATGTACAGGGAAGACTGGATCTAACGTGAAGAAACCAGCAAAAAATCAAAATTTAGGGGTAGTCAGCAAAACAACTGACGTGAGTGCTTCAAAATGTCAACAGGGTGAAACTACACCTCCCCTTAAAAGAAATGGAAAGCTGCTTTAAAGGAGACTGTGAAGCCATGACCACAATGTGGTGCATGAACCTTGTTTAGATCTGAGATTTTTTTTTAATGTTATAAAAAACATACAACTGTGAATTTTTTTTTTTTCCAGAACTGGGGATTGAACTTGGGTCCTTGCACTTGCCAGGGAAGTGCTTATTCTACTGAGTCATCTCCCCGGCCCCAACTGCAAAAATGTGCATGTAGATTTATGTACACTTTTATCAAGTAAAATGTCTTCATTTTAGTGATGCTGTTGGGTTACATAGCAGAGAACATCCTTTTTTTTTTTAGGAGATACATGTCAAAATTTTAGGGGGTGAAGATCATGTTATCTGGAATCTATTCTGAAGAGGTTTAATAAAACAAACATATTCAAGGAAACAAACAAAAGTGGCAAATGTTAACTGAGGAATCTAGGTCATGGGTGTGCATTGTACTATTTTTATAATCTTTATGTAGGTTTGAACAATTTTCAAAATAGACTGAAAAAAAAGGAAGAGTCCACAGACATTTCTTAGCACAGAGCCAGGCACAAGACAGCAGTCAGTAAATAGTGGCTCTTTGCTATGTTAGCTGACTCTTGCACTTCAGGGGGATAAATTCTTTCTTTCTTTCTTTCTT